AAGCAACTCCTGATACTTTGAACAAATAAAGGATGGCACATAACAGAATGAAAATTTCAGATCATTGAGGGAACCAAACGGGCCAGGGCTAAGGAGATGGGAATGTGAAATCCAGCCCCATCTATAACAGGAGAGAGGGACAAAGTGGCAAAGGAGGAGGAAATCTCAGAAGAGCAAGTGTCTGGGAGTGGGGGTAGGGGGGACACAGAACCACTCAGAAACCCAGAGAAAACTTCCTGGAGGGAATCGGATTACAAAGGAGGTGTGACAGTTTAGACAGCTTGCCAAGTCCTCAAGGACGCAAATAATAATAAATGCTAGAGAGGACAAGGAGAAGCAGCACTTTTATGCTGTGGAGGCATTCAGGTGGAAATTGGTGTGGAAGTTCCTCAAAAGACTAGGCATGGAAACACCATTTGACCCAGCTATACCACTCCTTATGATACATGCACACCCATGTTTACAGTAACACAATTCACAATAGCCAAACTATGGAATCAGCCTAAATGTCCATCAATGGATGAATGGACAAAGAAAATGTGGCATATATACACAATGAAGTTCTTTTTTATTAATTTATTTTTAGTTGTAGATGGGAGGAGGAGGGGGGACACTTTATTTTATTTTTATGTGGTGCTAAGAATGGAACCCAGTGCCTCACACATGCTAGGCAAGCGCTTTATCTCTGAACCACAACCCCCAGCCACACAATGGAGTTTTATTCAGCCATAAAGAAGAATAAAATTGTATCATTTGCAGGAAAATGGATGGAACTTGAGAACATTATGTTAAGTGAAATCAGCCAAACTAGGGAGGTAAAGGGTTGTATGTTTTCTCTCCTAGTGGAAGCTACAGAGGAGAAAGAAAAGAAAGGTGGTAGGAGTTGGGGGAGGGGGTGAAGATCTCATGAAAATCAAAGGGAGATCAGTAGAGTAGAGGAAAGGAAAGGGACAGGGGAGGGAGGAGAAAGGTTAGGGAAATGCGGAGGAGTGATATTGGCCAAATTATGGTTTTGTATTGTGAACGTACAAATAAGTAACAAATCCCACCATTATATACAACTATGATGTACCAATTAAAAAGGGACAAAATAATAATAAAATAAAATTTGTGGGGGTGGGACAGCTTTCCAAGAAGAGGTCAAAAGATTGCTCCTGCAGGCATAGTGCCGCACACCTGTAATCCCAGCGGCTCTGGAGGCTGATACAGGAGGATCTCGAGTTCAAAGCCAGTCTCAGCAATGGTGAGGTGCTAAGCAACTCAGTGAGACCCTGTCTCTAATAAAATACAAAATAGGGCTGGGACTGTGGCTCAGTGGTACAGCACTTGCCTAGCATGTATGAGGCATGGGGTTCGATCCTCAGCACCTCATAAAAATAAACAAATAAAATAAAGGCATCCTGTCCATCTACAACTACAGAAAAAAATTAAATACAAAATAGGGTTGGGGATGTGGCTCATGGCCAAGTGCCCCTGGGTTCAACCCCTGGTACCCACCCCCCCAAAAAAAGAATGCTCCTTACCAGTTGGGTGTGAGATTGCTGACAGGGAAGGGTCACAAGGGTCTGACGAGGCAAGTAATATGAAAGTAGACCATGGGCTTGACTGGGCACACCAAGAGGATAGAGGGGTCCAGAAAACCAAATGTGGGTCACTCCCTACCCACCCAACAAAGTGCCACCAACAAAGATTCTCTTGCGGGTGGAATCAACTTCAAGTGCAATCAGAGGATGCCCCAAGCCAAGAGAGTTTCGTTGCCACAAATTATCTCCTTATTCAATAATTCCTTGGTCATTTTAGAATAGTATGTCATTTTGTAATTTGGGGACCCCTCTGCAAAGAGCCCATCTGTCCAGAGTTTCATGGAAAGACCTGGTTACCGTTTAATTGGCTTCCTCTGTATCGAGTATATTTTGTTTTATACATAAAAAAATTATCTTGAGAACAACTGGCAAGGAGATTGAGAGCTACTGACCTATAGAAATGGGGCAGCCGGAGAACAAAGGCTGTGAGGGAAAAGACGTCATGGAATATTCCTCATTCACTGGGTGGTGGGGGACATTCACTGCACTGAGGAAATCTTAGGAATCTGATTGCAATTTCCCTATCTACCCAATCCCTCAATCATCTTCATAAGCTTTTTTTTCCCACCAGCATGGTCTCAGTGACCCTCAAATATGTCTGCTGCCACTCTTTATGTCTTTGCCCATTTACCCATTGATCTATTTGTGTGTATATTGATTACCTTCTTTCTACCAAGCACGAGGGACAGAGAAAAGAATTTGACAGACACTGTCCCTGTCCTAATGACATGTGCCCCCTCTCTGCCAACAAAAACTCTACCTCTGTCCAATGTCCTGCTCACCCAGGAGGTCTTTCCCAGAGCCACTCCAGATCACATGTCTAGTGCCGCAGTCTGGGTGGGCACAAATCACGAGCCACTCAAGCAGGAACAAACTTTATTTCCAAACTCCACCAGCACACTCCCCGGGAACTCTCCCCAATGCCACCCACGGGGCTCCTCCAGGAACACACCACACACCAACCCAAATTCCCACCACGGGAACTTCACCAACCAACGCAAACTCTTCAGGAATCCCCTCAAGAGCTCAACCGGAACTCAACAGGAACTCCGGGAGAACTCAAAAGTCATCATCTTAATGGCTCGCTGGCATCACCTCTCAACCACTACTTCTGGCAAAAATGCTATGCGTCATCCCGACTCGGCTGTGGCCCTCAACAGTCTAGATCACATTTTGTTATTAGATTTATTAGATTTGGGTACTTAGGTTACAAAACCTATTTTTTGTTATTATATTTTAATAAGTAGGAATTTGTAGAGTTTCTTATCTGTTTCATACTTGCAACTGCAAAAGACATATTATCTCTGCACTGTCATAGAAAAGGCCTGATTTTCAGATTGTAGTTTGAATAGATAATTTCATATATATTTTGAAGCTAGGGCAATCTACCACTAAGCCACAATCCCAGATCTTTTTAATTTTTATTTTGAAATAGGGTCTTGCTAAATTGCTTACAGTCTCGCTAAGTTACTGAGGCTGCCCTCAAACTTGTAATCCTCCTGCCTCAGCCTCCCAAGTTGCTGGATTAAAGGTGTGTGCTAACGCATGCAGCTAATAATTTCAGGTTTTGAGTTTGTTCTTTTACTCTGCTTCCTGCCACTTTAGGGCTCAAACATCCCATCCTTCACTCCTTGGATTCCTCATGTCCTTCATACTGTCCTGTAGTATCACCCCACAGGGAGTTCAAATGTTGCCTTCAATGACCGTTGCTCCTGTCCACCACAAGAGAGAACTCAGTCCACAGTTTTAGCCACCACTTCATGCTAGGCCAGCAAAACTTACCCAAGTCTTTCGGTTTTTCACTTCCTTCAGCCCCAGTATGGCCCCTATAACCAATCTCAGATTCCCAGTCCTTCAGCTGCCTGAGAGACTGTGGCCTGAAAATAATCCTGGTACAAATTTCTGCATCTGTCAGGATCAACCGTTGCTAGAAACAGAACTGAGTTCTGACTTTAAGCAGAATATTTGTTGGTTGGTTAGCGCTCAGAGTCCACAGAAGGGCTGGAGAACCCAGGCTCAGAATTAAGCAGAAGCAACACACTCAAAATCACTTCACGAATGCACGGCAGCTGCCAGCAGGGAGCGCCAGATGCCACAGTTTTGACCGCCGGTACCGTCAAGCGCTGGACATTGGCGCCACCTCAGCCACCACTGCTAGGGAGCTCACAGGAGCTGGGTCACTGTCGAGACCCACTAAGAAGGGATGTCCACTGCGCCCGCTTCGGTTCCCTGACTCCTGACTCAACGGGCAGGACAGGAGCAAGTGCTTGCTGAGCCTAAGCCGTGTGCACGCCTATTTCTGGCTGTTTCTGCTTCCATGATGGAGGGTCGGGATGTCCCAGGCATGGAAAGGGAAAGAGGTGGATATGTCCTCAAGATGACGCTCTGGTTGGGAGCAGTGTGCGAGAGAATAATGGTTGTCCCCTTGTGATGCCAAATCAGGCCAAGTTTGCATCACCCCCGCCACCACTCAGTCCCCACACAGCATGCCATCAATGCGAAAGAGTTTTGCAAACAGAGTTTATTCACAAGCAACTGAGTGCGGAGGGCGAACCCCACATATCAAATCTGCCTCCTGTCAGGTAGGATTTGGGGATATCTATGGAGTAAGAAAGTAGGATGTTTTAGGTGCAAAGAAAGGTTTTTGGAGGTGAAGCAATCAGGGTCTGCACATGCGCAGTCAAATGTTTATCGCTCTTCACGGGACTAGTGTTACCAAAATGACAACACATGATTCCAAGGCGGAGTTTTCAGCCTTCTGCCATCAAAAGGTCACGCATCGAACACTTGTGCAAACCCAAGTGAAAAGCCAGTAGCTTTCAAGTCCCTGTAAAATAACCTAATCTATGTTACCATCATGACCCACATGTCAGAGGTGTCAACTGTAGCAAACCTGGTGAGAGATGAATAATATATTGCTCAGCTAGTGACTTCCAGAATTAGTGGTTTTAAAGTCAACTAAAAGCAAGTGACACTAGAGGGTCAGTTTAGGTGTCCCCTTGGTTTCACTAGCTGGGGTTTACCCAAGCTCTGACATATAAATAATTTTTCCAGAGGAGAGGGGTGAAGTATGGTCCCACAACACCCCAATCCCCCCAGTGACCCCAGGGCAGTTGTGTCACCATAGACACACATCCCAGACGTCTACCACTCTTCACCCACACCTCTAGCCCACTGGCATTCTTTCACCTAAGGAATTCAGAGTCCTGAGATCAGCTCTCTCCACTCTGCTTGCAGAGCCTGTCTGTAGACCCCCCGACCACACTGCCAAGCCGGTTCATGAATCCTTTTTTCACATTCTTTGGGGAGGAACCCATCCTGGCTCCCTCATTGGCCTGTGAATTCACCTCCCCTGGGCAGGGTGCCAGGACCCAAGGAAAGAGCTGTTTCCTGTCCAGAACCTTCCAGCCAGACACGATGGAAACAATGGTACCTGTTCTGCTGTCTCTGCCGCTTCTTCTGGGTCATGCAGTCCCCCAGGAGACCCAAGCTGGTGAGTGGGGAAAGCAAGGGATAGGTGCTGGAGAAGAATGGTGGGAAGGCAAAGAACAAGACAGAATGGCAGGGAGAAGGACCCCCTGTGGCTGGGATTCCCTGGCATGTCATAGTCATGGGTGTGCAAGACCGTCAACTAACTCAGCTCACACTTCTAGAAGCATTCAGGGGGCCTCTGGACTCCTGCTCATTAAGACCTTAAAGAATCTGAATCTAAAACCCAAGTGAAAAAAAAAACTAAGACATAGAAAAGGCAAAGTGACTTTCCTGGGATTAAACAGCAGGATGAGGCAGAAACCACACGGAGAGAGCTGCTTCTAATCTTGTTCCTTCCTTCCTTCCAGTAGATAGGCACACCTGCCTGACTCAGTGAGAGAGAGAGAGAGAGAGAAGAGAAGAGAGAGAGCGAGCAGGGGGGCTCCCCAGGGGCAAGCAGGAAAGCAATTAGCTAAAGGAAACCCAGGTCCTCACCCCACCATGAATCTAGAAAGCAAGGGGCTGGGATGGGGGACAGGTGGGGACACTCAGGGAAATCCAGGGTTGATTCTACAACAGGGAATGAGGCTGTTTATGGCATCAAGGGTTCAGGATGAAGAGAGATGAGCTATGGGCTTTTAACCTGTGCAAGTTTAAAATTCCTTGCAGTCACAAATTGTCAAATAGGGTTTTTTTTATGTTTGTTTTATAACAATCATGTTTAGAATGTTAAGCACATTCTATACCAAAATCCAGATTTGTCAGAGAGACACAATAGGATGGAGGGATGGATGGGTAATAGATAAATGACAGATACATAGATAGATAGATAAATAGATTTTTTAATGGGGGAAAGAATTTTATTTTAAAGAATGGGGTACACAGTTGTAGGGTCTGGCTTATCCTAAAATCTGCAGAACAGGCCAGCAGATTAGGGACTCAGGAAAGAGTTAACATTGCAGTCTTAATTCAAACATAGTCCAGAGACTAGATTCTTTCTTCTTTGGCGGGGAGGGAGGAGTCAGTCTTTTCTCTTGAGGCCTTCAACCAGTTGGATGAGACCCACCCACATTATGGAGAATAATCTGCTTTACTCAGGGTCTACTGATGTACTTAGTCATCTTTTTCATTACTGTAATGAAACAGCAGAGGTGGGTTAACTTTATAAAGAAAAAGGATTTATTTTGGCTCATGGTTCTGGAGGTACATGGTTCTAAGGGGCCTAATCTGAGAGTGACCTTCTTGCTGGCGGGGTCTGAGGCAACACAAAGCATCACATAGCAAAAGAAAAGGGAATACAGATTATGTCTAGTTTTTCTCTCTCTTCTTAACTTTCCATCCCTAACTGCCAAGAGTTCATGTCCTTCTCATATTATAAAATATGTAATCATTCATCCCTAGAAGTCCCAAAGTCTTAACTCATCCAGCATTAATCCAAAATCCAAAGTCTCAACTGAGACTCAAGGCATACTCCTTGAAGCTTTGAATCCATCAAATCAAAACAAGTTACTATTTATGATATACAATTATGGGGCAGACAGGGTATATATTCCCACTCCAAATGGGAGGGATAGGAGAGTAGAAAGGAGCCATTGACCCAAAAGAAGACCAAACCCAGAAGGGCAGACATTAAATCCCAAAGTTCCAACTCTAGCATCTTGTGCACACTGCTATGACAGGTGAGTCCCCAAATCCTAGGCTGCCCTACCCCTCTCTGTAATATTCAACACCGTAGTGGTGCTTTCTATACCTGCAAGCTGATGTTGGTGGCTTTCCTGGGTAGACATGGCAGTCACTCTACTTTTCTGGGGTCTCCACTGAGGTTTTACCTCCACAACTTATTTAAATGTTAATCATGTTTATTATAAACTAATTAGGAAGAATAATTTCTGGGGTCTACACTGAGGTTTCACCTCCACAACTGATTTAAATGTTAACCATGTCTATCATAAACTAATTAGGAATCTGCCATATGACCCCAACATTATTAAAATCCACATGAATTATCTCATGAACCAATTATGGAACTCATTATGGAAATGTCCCCCTCTTCGAGTTGCTGCTTGGTATCAAAATGCAGGTATATCCCTCAGAATTCTGAGACTGGTTGTAGTCTTGCCGTGTACTGACCCATCCTGGGTCATTTCTTGGAATTTCTAGTAAATTCTCCTTCCCATATTTTCTAACTATATGTATTTGTCAGGTTACCATCAAGTTTGTGCGTATCAGGCCACTTTCCTCTCCTCCATAAGGTGACACAGGGATCCAGGCTGGTTGGTCTCCATAGTCATTGCCTAAAGGGAAGAGAGAAGGTGCAAGGCAGCTCATAGGACCAGAAGAATGAGGTTGCCTCATTTTTCTCTTTTGCCAGAACTCAGCCACATGGTCCCAAGATACCCACAAGAAGGTTGAGAAATATTATCTTACATGCCAAACAGAGGAACAATGTAGCGAAGACATATGAAAAGTCAGTCCCAGAATGAGAGCCGAGTCCACTCGCTTGCTCAAACTTCCAGTAGTGGGAGACTGACAGCAGGACTGAGAGAGCTGGGAAGAGACCTCAGGGACAGAGGCCTCAGGGACAGGTCTTCTCTTCTGGTGCACAGTGGGTGTCCCCATGCATGGACCCCACCCCTCTGAGTCTTCTCATCTTTTTCAGGTCCTTATTCTCTGACCTTTCTCTACACTGGGGTGTCCAGGCCTAGTAAAGTCCTCCCCAGGTTTCAGGCCACTGCCTTCCTCAATGACCAGGCCTTCTTCCACTACGATAGTGAGGGCAGGAAAGCAGAGCCCCTGGGACCATGGAGCCAAGTAGAAGGAATGGAGGACTGGGAGAAAGAGAGCCAACTTCAGAAGGCCCGGGAGGAAATCTTCCTGGTGACCCTGAAAGACATCATGGACTACCACAAGGACAGCAGAGGTCAGTGAAATGCAGGCCACGGGGAGGGTCTTAGCTCAAGAGGCAGCCCTATAAGTGTGAGTGGAAAGGGGCCAACAGGTTGAAGATAGTCCCTCCCCCAAAGGTGGAGCAGGAGGCACAAATAGAAATACGCAGACACATCTGGACCTAATGCCCCCTCCCATAGTGTCCTCCTTCCATATGGCCTCCCATCCTTGCTCCAGGCCTCAGCTCACACAGGAAGTGAGGCTCACCCCTGTTCAGGGATGTTGAGTGGATGGTGAGTAACCTTGGAGTCAGTCAGAGCTGAGTTCACGTGGTACATTCTTCCATCAGTCGCTGCTTGACAGTGAGCAAGTTTTTTAATTATCTGGAGGATTGAGACCTGCCTCCATGAGGTTCTGGAAAACTTACCTACATCAATTCCATGAAGGAGGCAGCATGTGTTTTGCTCTCCCCTGCAGCCCCAGGGCCTAGGACGAGGTGCAGCCAATACTATTTGCTCAACTGAAGTATGTTAAATGAAGAGAGAGAAAATACCCAGCACAACAAACTCATGGTCCATACTGACAGCTCAGAAAGTGCTGGGTTCAAAACCACAGACTGTTAGAGTTTCATAATGTTGAGTTTCATGAGTTACGTGATAGGGTCAGGATAAAAACCTCACAGTCTACCCACCAAGGCAACCAATCAGACTTGATAAACTGCAGATGTCAGATAATTTTATAAGACAGGATATCAAGGCTGGGCTTCTGAGTTAAAAAAAAAAAAAAATCTCCAAGAAGCCACCTGAAATCTGAAGGTTTTCAAAAGGAGGCAAGAGTTAAGTATAAATCTGAAGGATTTGGCATGGAAAGTCTTGGTAAGGAAAATGGCCTGGGCTGGTGTGTCCCAAATAGGAGCAGGAAGGACACCGGAAGACTGTAATAGAAATGTTGAAGTAAGTAATTATAAGAAAAGAGGAAGAAAAGAGAAAAATATGAGCACAATATTAGAAGGTCTTGGTGGCTATCTTTTTATTGGGCACTTATTATGTGCCAGGCCCAGATATCAATACATCTCACTTTCAATAACCTCCTAAAATAGCACTGCTATCATTGCCATTTCAGAGATATGAAAAGCGTAGAGAGATAAGGCTCAATCTCATGAACAGGCCAGTGTGGTGAAGAGAGATCTGGGATTTGCACTCTCAGAGCTATTCAGACTGAACATTCCCTAAGAAGGTCAGTTTCTGAGAGTCGTTGTGCACAAAGGGGTTGAAGCTTTAAAAACTCAGAAAAAAAAAGATGCCAACCACTGGAAAAGAGGGAGAAAGGGATCAAATTATGTTTTCTTATGTGGGCAGATAAACTCCACCTAGAACTGAGAGGAAAGGAGAGATCCAAAAGTTTTCTTCCTATTTGTTTGCAAAGTGTGCAGGAATGAGAGTCATTCAGCTGGATTTGGCACCAGGCTGATTGGCTCCCTGTGGGTTTGGGGGAGGCTTCAGGGTCTCACACCTTTCAGGGAATGTTCGGCTGTGATATCCAGAATAATAGAAGCAGTGGGGCGTTCTGGAGGTATGCCTATGATGGACAGGACTTCATTGAATTCAACAAAGAAATCCCAGCCTGGGTCCCCTTGGACCCAGCAGCCCTGAACACCAAGAAGAAGTGGGAAGCAGAAAAGGTCTATGTGCAGCGGGCCAAGGCATACCTGGAGCAGGAGTGCCCTGAGATACTGCAGAGGTACCTGAACCACAGCAGGACTCACCTGGACCAACAAGGTACTCAGAGCTTCCTGGAACCTACTCCCAGTACTGAGCTGAGAAAGACCAAGATGATCTCAGGCTGGGAGCTCAGGGGGTCATCTCAGGCTGCTTTCATCCACCCCTGGGAATCCTTTGGTCCCCCACTTTTCACTTCCTAGAATTCATTCCTTCCCTGGGAGGATAAGAGGTGAGATCCAAAAACAACATTTATCCAAATTTCAAGTTGGAGGAGCCAGAAAAACCACTGTCTTGATGGTAACCTTCTCCAAATAACCCCCTATTTCACAGATAAAGAAATTGGGGCTCAAAGAGGCTAAGTTAATACTAGCCATAACAGACAGAATCAGGTTTCAAATTCCATATTTCAGAGTTCAAATCCCATGAACACTTTTTTCTACTCCTGATGCCTCTTGTCTTGTTTGTGGAGAGAAGTCCAGCTTGGAAGGAAAGGCAAGTGTGAACAGAACTAAGTGCCACAAACTGAGGCTTTGATTGGAGAGGTAGGGAGAGAGAAGAGCGCAACAGAGCAGAGAGGAGTTTGATAGACAGAGACACAGGAAGAGCCAAGGAGCTGGGTCAAGACTAGAGAAGAAAGGAGCTACAAACCCCACTGAGATTTGGGCACACCAGGGAAACAGATAAGGAATTCACAAATTCACAACTTGTTGCTATCATAAGTCAATATACAGTGGGGTAGGAAGAAGGTAACTGAGTAGACATTCCATGACCCAACAGAGAGCCTCAATCTTCCCTGATCTTCTTAAAGATTTCTTTGGGGAGGGGGGCGCACAACTTAGAGACCTGCTGATAGCGACATCTGGGGGTTTGGGAATGGAAGGGACATGACAAGGGAAAAGTCCACCTCAAGCCCTCAGTGTCTATCTCATGTCCCTCCACAGATCCTCCCTCTGTGTCAGTCACCAGCCATGTGGCCCCGGGAAGAAACAGAACACTCAAATGCCTGGCTTATGACTTCTATCCACAAAGAATCGGTTTGCGCTGGACTCGGGCCGGCAAGGTGCAGGAAACTAAAGCAGGGGGAGAGATTCTTCCCAGTGGAAATGGTACTTACCAGTCCTGGGTGGTGGTGGGAGTCCCCCCTGAGGACAGAGCCCCTTACCTCTGCCTCGTGGAGCACAGTGGGCTGGCCCAGCCCCTCACAGTGCCATGGAATGGAAGGCAGAAAGCCAGGGCTGAAGGTAAATTGGGGACTCCTCAGTAGTCACATGAGAGAGTTGAACTTTAGAAATCATCGTCAATGTCACCAACAAGGTCCCGGGAAAACAGTGCAAAAGGAAGTGCAAATCCAGATGGTGGATTTGGAGACAGGAGACTTGCCACTGAGTTCACTCTGACTGTTCACCTCCTAAACTCTCCATGGTCCAGTCTTTAAAACCTCACCCACAATACTCCCCTTGCCTGGCCCAGCAGAGAAAGATGTTTTCAAACTGTGAACTGGCTATAAAAATGTGAGTTGACTGAATCATTCATTCTGCCCCTTCCCCAAGCATTTGATTCATCTGAAATTCTTGGTACCCAACTGAAATAATGGTTCACCCTTGGGCATATGGACCTTGGGATGTCTCCAGCATGGCTTAGACCACCCAGTCCTGTGGACCTTGTTCTAGCATCCACTGCTGATGTCCACAGATGAGGCCATGACCTCACTGGCTGTCAAGCCCCCGAAATCTGTAAAACCCAACACTTCTGTACCTGTTTTCCTTGCTCCCTGTGAGACATGGTCCTCCACTTCAGCAACTCAATCTTTCCCATATACGTTAGCCCTGAACCACACGCAGCCAGAGCTTATTTGAGAGGCCTCCTCTCTCCAGGTGCACTCCCAAGGAAGCAGGAATCAGCCTTGATGTTCTTGGACTCCCTCCAAGTCCATCTGAGTGTGTTTTTTCAATTGAGTCACCTCTGCCATCCGCAGGTTTAATGCCCAAGGGTAGAGCAGAACCCTCACAGCTGACCTTTCTACTGAGCCTTACCTACCATGGTTGTGTTCTTCTTTCCTACATGGAAAGAACTCTCTTTATAACATGCCCTCAGCCTCCCACTCTGGATTACTCCAAATTCAGTCCTCCCAGCTGTTAAGTAGTCAGAAGCGGACTTCCAAATTCTGAGTCAAGAGGCTTCTCTTTCTTGAAAGTCTGAATTTAAAGGTTACATCTCTGGTTTTGTTTTTGTTTTTGTTTTAATACTTTGGGTTCAATTTGAATACCAAAAACTGAGAAATTGGGCTGGGGATATAGCTCAGCTGGTAGAGTGCTTGCCTCCCATGCACAGGCACTGAGTTCAATCCCCAGCATGGCAAAAAAAAAAAACCCTGAGAAATTACTTCCTTAGTCTACAAGAAACCAGAGGAAATAAAGAGCCCCATTTGAACAGTAGAGAGTTGCAGGGAAGAAAATCAAAATAGTTAAGAGAGAAAAATACAGCCATTGATCCTTCAAAATATGATAAGACCTTGAACAAATAAAAAGTAATAGGATAAACATTGTGAATCAAAGAGGAAACCAAAATCAACATAAGCAGGATGGGCTAAGGAAGACTGGAATGAATCTGATCCAACCTGTGACTGAAAGGATCTGATCCAAAGAAAAGATGAAGGGGTGGACAAGGAGGAGGAAGCCTCAATAAACAAAGTCTTGGCCAGGCATCCAGGTGGAGGGGGAGAGGGACACAGAGACATTCAGAAACTCAGGGAAAACTTCCTGGAGGGAGTCAGATTTCAGAAGTATCAAAAGAATGCTCCTAACCAGTTGGGTGTGAGACTGCTGAGAGGGGAGGGTCACAGGGCCTGCCAAGGAAGATGACCTGGGAGCAGTCCATGGGCATGGACTGAGCACACCAAGAGGAGAGAGGAGTCCTGGAAACCAAACACGGATCACTGTGTTCCCACTTGTCAGGATGGGCAACGGGTGCGACTTATGCAGTCCAGGGGGAGGAATAAAGAATGTCCATGTGCTTCTGCCCTAGTCAATGCTTTATTCACTCAAATCACTCAATACAATTTCACTCTATAGGATCTTAATCAAGAAAATGACAATCCATAATGCTAGGCACTGTAATAGAATCAATTCACAGCAAACAATTCTGGATTAATTCTAAGCACTGCCAACACACTTAAGCATGACAGGCTCATGATAGACATTCCCTCCGCGTGTTAAGCTCAAGTGTCAGATCAAAAGTCTCAAGCCTTAGGCTCTGAGTCCAGCAGGTGCACACTCACTCAGACCGTGGTGATCAGACCAGGAACCCAGGCAGGCTTCTCCTGGGGTGGAGCTGATGTTGAGGAGAGGATCCTAGGGAGAAGTTGCAGCTCTCACCAGGGTCAAGATGTGGCTGTAGAGTTTGAGAGAGGTGAGGAAGATGCAGAGGATCAGGCAAATGATGAGAAGAGTTGGGATGTCAGTCCAGGTCCTCATCAGGCTCTCCAGCGTGAGAGCATCAGTGTCAGCTGGCTAATGTCAATTCATTTGCTCTATTACTTATACCAAATTCGGGGGGTTTTGACCCCCCCTTTCAATCCTTATCAGCTGCCACGAGATTTCTCAGTGACATAATTTACTCTGGGGTTAAAGCATCTGGTGGTCCCCACCCTGATCTTTTCACCTTTCTCTCTTATCAGGTACTTTTCCCTCTTATCTTGGAAGACAGCCTACCAGAGGCTTCACTATGAGTTTATCAGAGTGGGGAGAGGTGACTTGTTTGTGTCTGAGGGACATACTGGAGGGCTCCTTAGGCATGCCTGGTGAGACTGCAGGTTTCAAACTGGAGTTTTTAAAATGGATTGCTTAGGTTCAGGCCTAAGGCCATCCTCACACCACTCAACAAACATCTCATGTTTCCACCAACCTTTTTAAGGAGATGTGTGGCCCATTTTCATTTCTAAAGGAAAATGATTTAAAATTAATTTCTTTTGAAAATTCAGCAATTGCCCTTGATGTAACTGATGTCATCCTGAACATAAAACTAGCCATAAAATAAGAGCTCAGAATCACGGGTCTTTGGGCAGAGTGGGTAAAAGGACTAGAATTCCCACTGGGTACACCTGAAGCCACCCCCAAGTGTAAAACCGCTCTCAAAGCTCACTGTGCCAGTAGAATTTTCTCATAAATGGTTTGTTTTTTATTAATGAGATTACACATACACACAGAGGGAATAAACTGTTCCCACGAGAATATGTTCTAGGAAAAGCACTAGTTCAGGGCAAATCTAATATGTGTCAACAAGCCCCTTTTAGTAGAGCAAAGTTTTGAACCCAAATACAGAAGAAAGAAGAGACTCTAGAACTTCATTGAGAAAAAAATGACTCATCAAACTAAACACCCCCATTCACATCACTGAATCCATGATCCCAATGGTATAGGTACCCATCTTCTCTTCCCTGCACTTATTTCACCAGGGGAAATGTCTTTCCTCCTACAGAAGAACTATCCTTCCCCATGTGCTCTGGACCTCATCCTCTTTCTCCTACTCAAGGACCTTATTGACCTGGTTCTCCTATCTCTCTCCAACATTGCTAGAATATAACCATGTTATAGTCTCTCCTCTTTTAAATAAAGCAAAACTTCCCATAGCAGCACCTTCCCTCCAGTTTTCCCTCCATTTTTTTCTTTGCTTCACAGGAAAATTCATCAAAAGTGCTGACCACGCCCACTGCCTCCATGTCATCACTTCCCATCCATTCTCCAACCACACCAGTAAAGCAATCACTATTTCCACTAAAATTGCTCTTTCTGCATGTCTGTAATCTCAGCTATTCAGGAGTGTGAGGCAGGAGGATCCCTTGAGCCCAGGAATTTGGAATCAGCCTGTACAACATAAAGAGACTCCATGTCCTTTCCCCCCCATTATTTTAATTGGTGCACGACAGTTGTACATGATGGTGGAATTTGTTGTTACATATTCATACATGCACACTATATAAAAATCTAATTTGGCCAATATGATTCCTGAGTATTTCCCTTTTCTCTCCCAGAGAGACTCCATGTCTTAAAAATATAGAGAGAAATTGTTCTTTCCAAGGTCATTTAGGCACTCCACACTCTCAATGCCAAAGTCATTTACCCATTTCTATCTAATCTTGTTCAAGCTCTTAGCAGCATCTCACAGTTGGACCCCTCCTTTCTTCCTCTTTTCATGGATTCAATAAGTATTTAGTGAGTACTTATCATGTGCCTCATCTCTGTTCTAGTAATATGACAGTGAATGAGACTTAATGTGTCCCTGATTTCATGGAATTTATATTCTAGAGGAGAGGTCCTGGCCATCAGTATGCAAGCCAATAAATAAAATGCTATGGAAACATAAAACTAGGTGGCAAGGCAAAAGGTGATTGGGACTGGAGGGAGGAAGTGGCCTTTCTAAGGAGATGATATTTGAATTCACATCTAAGAGATGAACAGAAGAAGTCATGGGAAGATCTGGGGTGAGCATCCTGGGCAGAGAGCACAGCATATGTCAAGGCCCCAGGATAGAAAAAATCTTGGAGCATTTGAGAAACACTGTAGAGACCAGTCAGGCTGGAGCATCATGAACAAGAGGAGAACAATCAGAGATGGTTCTGAAAGGGCCAGCAGAAGCCAGATCATGCAGGGCCTTGTAGGTCTTGGTAAGGAATTCAAATTATTAAGCCTCTGAAATAGGGAGTGTTGGTTTTGGTAACAGGTTGGCCTTTCCTGGGTAATGCATGGAACTTCTCCCTGCTTCTGTATATACCCTCTCCTAGGATTTTCATCCACTCTCATGAATTTAAAATCCATCAATCTGCTGAAGAGTCCCAAAGTTAGATCTTCAGACCACAATTCTCCTGGGAACCAGAACTAACTTCTCAGCTCTTTTTTCCTTACCCACTGTGCCCACACCATCAGGAGTCCCATCCAATCTACTTCCACCATCATCCCTGTCCTCGCTGGGGAGAGCGGTGACAGAGGATGGGAGAGCAGTGTCTGAGATTGGGGTCTCAGATGACCTCATGGCTGTGGCAAGCCTAGCGCCTGGGAATGTTCCTATGCAAGGATGCAGGATGCCTAGCTGCTGTGGCAATGCCCTCCATGAGGAGGCTCTGAGGCAGAGTCTTATCAACCTGAACCTTGATCTCAGGCACATGGTTCCTGAGAATAGAGGAACTCTCCTGTTAGGCAACCACAAAGTTTCACCAGTTCCATTATTTCCAAAGCTGCTGCTTAAC